TTCCCTCATAGGGTATTAGGAAAATCAAATGAAAGTGCCTATGGAATGCCCTTTGTAAACTATAAAACATGGTCTGCCAATAACGGCTTAAGTCCCATGAGGGAAATCCTATGATAAATTAGGCTGAAAACTTAGTTGTATGTAAGATTTTCTTAAAAGGAGTGAGTGGAGTGGAAAAGCACAGACTTTTTGTGATTAGCTAGATCTGGGTCTGGGTGTCAGCTCCACCCTTTGCAGTCAGGTGGCTGTGTGTAAGTGACTTAACCTCTCTGAACCTCTCTCTTACCTGTAATGTGGGACTAATAAGGGATTAAGGTGAATATTAAATGACTTGAGATAACATGAACAACCTTTCAAAAAGATTGAAAATAAAATGGAAAAAGATACACACGGGCAACTTTGAAACAAAAGAAAGCTGGGATAGCAATTTTTGTATTAGACAATATAGACTATAACTCAAATATATCATAAAGACAAAGAGGGATGCTATATGCTCATAAAGAAGCAATAATTAAGAAAATATAATACTCATGGACATATATGTACAGCATAATATAACCCCGAAATATAAACCAACAATTGACAGAACTGCATGGAGTAGATAAAACAATGATTGGGCTTGGAAATGTTAATGCAGCCCCCTCTGGAAATGATAAATTAAGTGGAAGAAGAGTAAGCAAGTGTCAAGAATATTTGAAGGACATGATTAATAACTTGATCTGACATGAACAGTCACAAAAATTAATCATGTACCAGGCCACAAAGGAGCCCTGGTGGCACAATGGTTAAGAGCTACAGCGAGCTATGGCTGCTAACCAAAAGGTCAGCAGTTCAAATCCACAAGCCGCTCCTTGGAAACTCTATGGGGGCAGTTCTACTCTATCCTATAGGGTCGCTATGAGTAGGAATTGACTTGACAGCAACAGGTTTCAGGCCACAAAGGAATTCTCAATATATTCCAGTGAATTGACATCCTATAGACTGTTCAAATCATAAAGAAATGAAATTAGAAAACAACAATAAATGAATAGCTATAGAAATCTCACGTGACTGTATATTTGAAAACATTACTATTAGTAAAAACTCTTTAAGAGGAAGTCATAACATAAATTACAAAAAAAAAACACTGAGAGCAGAACAACAATGAAAACACTATGTCAAAAATTGTAGGGTGCAAATAAAGCTCTACTTAGAAGAAAATCTATAATTTTGAATATATTTATCATAAATCATAAAATAAGAAAAATTGAAAATAAATGATTCAACCATAAGACTCATAGAGTTCAATTCTACAAACATAAAAGGAGCAACAGATTTAGATCAAAGAAATAATAAGGAAGGGAATAATACACAAATGAAAATTAACAGCAATTCAAAAATAAAAAAAGGAAAACAACAAAAAAAGCTAGTCTTATAAAGAGGCTAACACAATAGTCAAAACTTTTAGCAAGATTAATCATGGAAAAAAAAGATGAAAATAAATGAAATACAGAATGAGAAAGGGAGAAATAATTACAAATACAACAGACTTAAAATTATAGAATATTATAAACAGTACATGTAGAAATTGTTGGATTGGTGAATGTTCTAATGTATATATTTGCAATAACAAAAATAAATTACAAAAAAGAAAATATTCTAAACAGCTATATACCAATAAATTTGAAAACCTGAATGAAATAGAAATATCTGGAAAAATATAAATGCCAAAATTACCACAATAAGGGATAATAGACCTTGAATACACTGTTAACCACTAAAGAAATAAAAATGGTAAGTTATTATCCTAAAAAAGCCTCAGGCCAAGATGGTTTCATAGGTAAAATCTACTAAATTTCATAGATCAGATAATTCCTATATTAAAAAGTTGTTTCAGAAAACAAGGTGATAGGAAAAGCTGTTCAAATCATTTTATGGTTTATTGTAAATATATCAAAACTGGATATAAATTGTACAACAACAAAAATTATAGATAGATAGATCAGTTTGAAGGTCCCTGGGTGGTGCAAATGGTTAAAGTTCTTGGCTGCTAACCAAAACATTGGAAGTTCAAGTCCACCCAGAGACACCTAAGAAGAAAGGCCTGACCATCTACTTCCGAAAAACTGTGTGGAGGACAGTTCTACTCTGACACGCCTGAGGTCACCATGAGTTGAAATCAACTTGATGGCACCTGGTCTGTTTTTTTTTTTTTTTTTAATTATCTAAATCAGTTTGAAAAAGAAGATGAAAACATCATAGTACTGGCACAGGAAAAGACAAACTAGCAGAACTAACTGAGTGACAAGTCCAGAAACACACCAAAGTATATATGAGAAGCTGGTTGTTGACGGAGGTAGCTTCACAAGTCGGATCGGAAAAGATGGATTTTATTTTCGGGGTGGGGGTGAGGCAGGGATTTGATTTTGGAAAATTGCGTTAGTGAGAATGTAAGGGGAGATAAAATTTTATCTCTATGTTAAAACATTCCAGAGCGACTATAGATGTAACTATGAAAGCTAAGACATAAAGCCAATAGATGAAAATGTAGAATAACTGAGAATTTGGATAGGGAAAGATTTCTTCCACAAGATCCAAAAAGGACCAATTATTAAAAAAAAAAAAAAAAGACTCGTTTGTCTACGTCAAAACGAGAAAGCATTGAATATGAGTAGTTACTCCGTAAGTATCTGTCTTCATGATTTCATGCCTTGTTTCAAATTTAGTCAGGGACTGCCACAAAAAATGAGTTATGACTCTAGCTTATCATTTCACTGGAGAGAGATGCAGGTGCTAAGATTCAGGTTGAGGAAGGGCCTCCAGGGGTCCTAAAACGATTAGTTATGTGAAGGTCTGAAATGCTGCTCTCTTCAGAGTGTTCAGACTAGCTCTTTGAGGAATCTCTTAGTGAGAAGCCTAAAATACAGGTGTAGGTGGCCAAGAGCGACTGTGAAAACGTAATCATTGTCTGCCTTGGGAATCCTTTGCTGCCCATACTTTCAAAGTGGGCATGGGTCCCACAATGCAAGGGGTGGGAAGATCATTGATACTTCACAACCAACCCTGACTGAACTCCAGAAACATGCCAGGAGCTTGTTAAAAATAAGTTGGAGGGCCCTGCTCTGGCGGACTCTGATTCAGTAGCTGTGGGACAGCTCAGGAATCTCCATCTGACCAGCTTCCAAGTGTGGCAGGGTTGCAGCCAGGGGTGATACAGGTCAGAATTCAGCTCCAGGGGTGCAGAACCACCTGGGGAGGGGGGTGCACATAAAGTGTGTGTGCAGGGTGAGGGGTGCACATAAGGTGTGTGTGGTGGGGGTGCCCATAAGGTGTGTGTGTATGGGGTGCACATAAGGTGTGTG